TCTCAGGCATGGGATGATTGCTGGCTGGTGATTGAGGTCGAGCTATATCTGGTTGATTGCCCTCTCCAGATTGTCACATAGTGTTTCATCAATGATAAAAAAAAAGTTGTCCCTGCTTAGGGTGTAATTTCACTCTTATCACAATAACAGATCTATAGTTCCTAAATTCAAGGTGAATGTTAAGAAAATGACTCAGAAAAAGAACTAGATAGAAAGGCAAGACGGAGTTAAATCAATGAAGGGGTCTTCCTTTAGATTTAGGGCAATGACTGTAGAATTCTAAGCACTACTTGGCTGGTCTAAAGCAGCATATTGGAAAAGCCTGGAATTCATAATCTTTTTTGATTATGGTTTATCTGTCATTCTTCAAAATATCTTTCTCACTCTAATCTTGGTGTCTTCAATCTTGAAGGAGAAGCAGAGATCAGATAAGTTTATGTCTACTGTAAATATTCTCTATTTTTATTTATTTATTTTTTTTATTTAAGAGGAAAAAGAGAAAAACACAAAACAAACCAAAGCGGTGTAAGGGTACACGTAATACAGAACTACAAAAAAACAAAACAAAACAAAAAAAAAACAAAACAAACAAACAAAAAAAAAACCATAACAGTAAGAAATCACCTGTTAGTATATTACATATTATCATCTTGAAAATAGTTCCTCAAATCACAGTATCAAAGAATACAAGGTGGACATTCAAACAGGTAGACTGCAAACAGCTGTGTTCAATGATCCAAAAACATTGATACAGTCAGCTATTTAACACCCCTAAACACACTTGCTGTTATATCCGTTAGAGCTCTTTTTCTTTTTTTTTTTCCCTCTCTTTTTTACAACAAAATTCACGCACTTTGGATTTCATTACTCCTTAGTGCTTATTACTTTTTTTTGGGGGGGGGAAGAATACAGTCAAATATGGCAAAACAAAGCTGTCAGTCAATACCAAGGATAGACATAGCACATGATGTAGAACAGAGTACAAGTTTATCAACAATGGTTATCAACGTTGTCCCTTGTTTCCTTAAAAAGAATTGTCTATCTCATTAGATATTATAAAGTTGGACAAAACAGTAGAGAACAAGACCAATAAAACTTAGGCATTGTAAACATGTAAATATTCTTTAAATGATTAAAATTTCCATATGAAGACCTGAGTAGGAATCTCACTCAAATTTTAAGGTAGCATGCAGACAAAAATGCACTGTGATGATAAAGATGGCAAGTGGCTACCGTGCATTTATTTACCCATTGGATATTGCAGGAAAAATGAAGAATCAACGCTTTCAGCATAGGCAGATCTTAATTCTTCTTTCAGTATCACCTGGACTAAAAATATGAAAATTTACAATGTCAGGCTGATTGTGATCCATATATCACTGAGTCTGTGTACCACCTGTCCTCTGCTAGTGACATCAGAGTCAGAAGACCATTTGGGTATTAGTCATCTATATATTCTAAGCACTTAAACCAGACATTTAAGGGTACACAGTAATTTTTTCAATAAATACATGCATAAATGAAAGACTAGAGGTCTTGGGATGTTCTTCCAGCATATAGGGCCTCTCTACAAATGTGCAGTAAAACTGTTAGCATAGAAATCTCTTAAAGTGTTTACTCTCTATTGAATTGATTTCACAAAAACGTGCCACTTCTTATTGATCTTTGTGGAACAAGACCTTTGTTGTTAGAACAGGGTGTGTTTATTCTTAAGGAATTGTTCCTGTTGGTATAAATCCCAATTCAGTTGTGCCAGTGCCAAGAGGTGACCAGGCAGGTGGTACAGAAAAACTGCTTACAAAGGCTGAGGATGCAAAAGAAGGAAGAGAAAAAGATGTGCATAGGCACAGTTTAAACTTTTATTTCTGTTTTGTTAACAATATCAAGGCCACTTCTGGCCCTGCTCTGCCCTGGGATGATTGTGGAGGAATCAGAGTCCCTGCTGTACCTCCCCGGTTGCTGTGGCTGCTGGCAGCCGGGCACTTGGGGAACTCTCCCTGGAAACAGCCACACCATAGCCTCATTCTTCTGCTGCAGTTTTGTCAGGGAAGGAAGGACCTGCCAGTGACACCAAGAAAAGAATTGACATCTGGGTAAAGGCTGTGGGAGACACCCCTATAAGGAAAGCAAATAAGTGGGCGGTAGAGCAAATGTTGACGATCTAAGGACTCATTGATTTTTTTTAGAAAGTCCTTTAAGTTTGTTGCCTCTGAACAGTTGTTTATTTATGTGACTCAATCATTTGCACTTTCCCAGATCAGGAAGTTTGAAGTAGTGGTAAGTTAGTCCTGTGTTACTGCAAATCTCAGGCATGGGATGAACCGCAGAGAAAAATAACTTGCTTCTCAAAATGATTGTTTAAAAAGGAAATGGCTCTGAAAAGTTTTGCTGCCAGTGGCAAGAGACTTAATGAATATGGACTGCTCAGCCTGTATCTGCTCTCACTCATGAATATGCATAAGAAAACATCCACAGAGTGAATGGATTCACAAAAATATGATAAATGTTAATACAAAAATCATCATGAAAGATTAACATTACAGTATGTCCATTGTTCCTGCCAGAATTATTGTTTCTGAAGAGCCTCCAAAGGAGAAAAGGAGATTGAAACTATAAATTTCTTCATTACTGGTTCTTAGTGTCTGAAATTGTTTACTCATATTATTGGTACTCTGTTGACTTTTTATGGTAAAATTAATTTTTTAAAAATAATTTTATTTTTGTAGCTTATTCAGGGATTCTCATTTTGTTCGAGAGAGTGAGTAGCTTATATTTATATTTTATCTACTGTAACGCCTTTTGTAACTAACGCAGACATGGTGACTGAATACCTTACATAGTCCAGCAGAGGGCTGCCCTGCTAGTCACAAAGGTTTGGCAGTTTGACTTTCCGTCATTGCTAGGTGATTAACAGAAGAAAAGACTGTTCTTGGTAACTTACAATATTATTAAGATGAAAGACTTTAAACAATAAATATAGTTATGTTGAGTAGCAAGTAATTTTATAAGTTCTGCAAAAATGAGTCATGCAGCAGTTTTCATTCCTGTCATTTAAGATTCTTTCATCACAATGTTGTGTTATTCTCAATTAGAAATGTCAAAAACTGGCTGAGTAACTCTGACAACATCAAGTGTTTCATACTGGATTTTCCAGATTGAAAGCACACAAATAATAACTGAAAAATAGCCTTAGATGCTATGTATTTCTGTGCCATGACTTCAGAGTACTGTTTTTACTATTGATATCAGATTGATTATTGCTCAAAGTGAGAGTCATTCCAATAAATTTAACTGAATATTCAAACAATAAAAAAATCAGAATGTTGAGCTTTTGATTGCCATTCAATTTAGGTATCCCAACCCCTGGAGCCTGGGTTAGGATGGGTCTGGGACTGTTAGGGATCTGGCCCCACAGCATGAGGTAAGAAGTAAGAGAAGCTTCATCTATATTTAGAGTTGCTCTCCATAGTTTACTTGACCATCTGAGCTCCATATTCTTCAGATTAGCTGCAGTATTGGATTTTCATATGAGCATAAACTGTATTGTGAATTGAGGATGTGAGAGACCTAGATTGCATGTTCCTTTGAATCATCCCGAAGTCACCCCCATACCAGCCTGTGGAGAATTGTCTTCCATGAAAACTGGTGCCCAAAAGGTTGGAGATCATTGGCTTCTAATTTTCTATTTCTAAATTAAATAGACAAGTGACATGGCTCTGAGTCAAGAACATGAGGTACTATAATTTCCAAATACTCAACCACTGCATCTCTTCCATTGGGAATCTGATAGGAGGCTCACTGGTCACAATGATTGCTTTTACCAGTCTCCTCCTAAATCATCTCTAGAGACCTGCTTTTCACTTATTGAATAATAACTAATTCATCTAAAACAAGGAGCCATTTGCTGTGTCAGTCATTGATTCAGAAAAAACTTGGAATCATATTTTTTGGATATTGTGTGTGTTATCTGTAGAAACAGCACCCATGACATTTGTGGTTAATGTATTTGGGAGTCTACCTTTCCATGCAAGCTGTTCTTTTCTTCTGCCCTTTCATACCGATTAATCATTGACATGCAGGCTTTTCTGAGAAAGTTAATACTTAACTTGTTGTTTGCTACATGACTCTCTGAAGCCCTGCAAATGCAGCAGCGTGAATTCATACTGTTCAGTAATGCAGCCATCAGCTTCAGCTTTTCCATGTCCTGTGTCTCCTTAGCGACCCTTTTGGCAGAAGGCTCTTTGCAGCCAGCCTGAATGCACCAGGAAGGCAGCTGAGATAGAAGCTTCACTTGCTCTCTTACCATAGTGAAGGAAGATTGAGTGGTTACCACAGACTCACATAGGCCATGTAGAAGCCCCGCAGTGTCTCCTAGCTCAACCAAATTATCTAGATGCCAACTCTGTAAAGTCTTCTTAAAGGTCTAGTAGCATAATAATGAATAATATTTTGACTATGCCCTGAAAAGCTCATGATCTTGTAAAGGCAAACAATCAAGGAAACAAAGTATATTGCACCAGATGCTGCAGATAACAGATGTCCAGAGGATAAAATGCTTCTATCCAGGACATTTAATAAGAAAAGACTAGATGATGAAGCTTTGACTGAGTTTATGAATTTTGAAGGATGAATAAGAATCTTCTGTGGGCACAGGAAAGTTTAGGCAAAGGAACTTGGACAAGTAAGTAAACATATATATTCTTGTTTGAGTGAATTTCAAGCATTTCAGTATAACTGGCACTGAATGCAAGAACAGAGTCCAGGTTTTGCAATGCCAATCACTTCCGACATGAGCAAAGTACTTTGTCCATAATGATAACACTGAGCTTTTTAAAATTTTCCACAAACTATGACTCAGAGCCCACAGTAGGCACATTTATGACTCTTCTGACTGCTGAGGTAGGGAAGCCACCAGACTTTGCAACTGGGGTGGAGCACAGATGGTTTTGCTACTAGTTGCACATCCAGTCCCACCTCCTTCCCCAGTAAACATTTGTGATTGGTCTCATTGAATTACAACTGGGCAGGAAAGGGGAGCTTTGCAGGCAGGGCCCTGAAAAGTATCACACAATTAGCTGGGAAGCAAAATCAGTGGAGAGAATCGCTGGAGGAAATTTGTAATGAATCTGATTCCAAACTATGCCATGGAAACCTGGGTTCTCCTGGTCACCATCCTGGTGCTCCTCTATCTGTGAGTAGCTGTCTAAAAAGCCCGGTGGTATCATATTTTTGGAATCATATTTTTTGGATATTGTGTGTGTTATCTGTAGAAACAGCACCTATGACATTTGTGGTTAATGTATTTGGGAGTCTACCTTTCCATGCAAGCTGTTCTTTTCTTCTGCCCTTTCATACTGATTAATCATTGACATGCAGGCTTCTCTGCATTTGAGGACTTGGGTTACAAATCATATTGCTCTTTCTCTTAGATCAAAAGTAAAAATGACAGGGCACTTGTTTAAGAGCTGGATGTTACCAAAATCTAAGGGATGATTACAAATCTAATACAACACTTTGAAGGAATCACTAAGTACTTGTCACCTAGAAAACTCCATTAGTGGTATCACTTGCTTTGGATAGTGATCAACCAGATTTATCCAACCAGAATTTAGCAAAGGTAGATTACTGTCCCATGTTCAGTGGGACGCAAACTTACACAGCTGCTCAGGATTCTGGGATAAGAGGTTTCTTCATGAGTTTTTATGTCATTATCTTTTTGTTCTCTGTCTGTTCACAAATGTGCACGAAGATAGCCCTTTGTTGACATAGGTTGTTCTTGTACCTTCTGTAGCCCACTCCAGCACCACTTGCACAATTCTCTAAGATCACACCTGACAGATTCAGGTGATATTCTTACCTCTCTGAAAATCCCCTTCCTTCTATAGCTGAATTCCTCTACTACACAATATACAGTACTCTTTAACTGTAAATAATGATTATTTTGAAAAGAAAATGATGTTTTGAACTTTTTTTACATTTCTTTGACTTTTCTTCCTTGTTTCTGGGTGCTTAGCTTCAGGCCAGGTATATAATTTTTCCCCAATATAAAATCTACTGACAGCCTCAAAATGTGAGAATCCTCAGGCCAGCTTGCATTTAAAAATATTTTTCCTTTTAAAATATAGAGTCAAATTAGGGTCAACTAAAAAATTTCCTGTCCAATATTCCTATCCAATAAAAAAGTTCCTGTCTATGGTGGGATGCCAGGCACCAAAGAGCAAGAGAAAGAGGTGTTGTATTGGACTGTGGGTAGAAGAAGCTCCCATCATGTCACATTTGATTTGTATGTCAATTTTACATTTGTAAACAGGAGCTAGTCAATGTGATGTGAAAACAGGAATTAAAAGTCTAGTGTAAATATTCAAAGAGAAAATTAGAAGTTTAGGGAAATATATTTTCCATAATACCTTAAAATATGGTCATGCCATTCTACTCAATTTTAAAATTTCCTTGAGATGAGTACATGAGTTGAATTTAGAATATGGTAAATGGCTAAAATTTTAAAGTATTTTTCATTATAAAAGACACATTGCCATCAGTTCCCCTCAGGTGCCCTCAAAATATTCCCTCTCATTTCAAGCAAACTCCATTATTCTTGTCACGTTTTGAAGTTGTTTTTGGAGTCCTCTATGGTAACTTTTTATGGATGCTTCAATGTCTTGCACCAATTCAAAATATTAAGGACAATTTCTGTCAAATAAAAATATTCAATGTGTCCTCAGCCAAATTATTTTCTTGCTCTGCTTTTTCTAGATTTTCCCTAAAGTTAAAATGACCATGAAACATAAGCAGTTTTAATCAATTCAGGATATTAAGGGAACCATAAAAGTACAACTAAAAACCATGAATAAATTGCTTCAGACAGTGGCAAGAGCAATGAGATAATGGGGCTCAAAGGCAGAGAAGCATTTTGAGGGGGGTTAATGCCAATGTGTCTTTTAATGTAAAATATTTTTAAAAATGTGGACCTTCACCACACATTTGGATCACCCCTTGTACATCACATTCCTTTACAAAGTTAAAATAGGAGTGCAGTGTTTGGGACAAGAGGCATGCTTAAAATGATCTCATCTTTTTAGAATAATGACAAGAAGATAAATATAATGTAAAAATGTCTATGTCTCAGATACTGCTTACATATATGGTTTTAAATATATCTGTGTAGCAGTTTGTTTTACTTTTTTTAAGTGTACCTGGCCACCAAGTTATCTCAGTCTCTCATTGTAAAAGACAGTATGAGCCAGTGATGAAATAAAAGATACCCAGGTGGGAATTAGGAGCAAATGAGAAAATATTCCTGTCCACTCAGGGAAGAACTCCTAGAGACACACATGTGTACCAGCCCCTGCTTAATGTCACTAGGGAGTAGAAGTGATGGCATCACATCTGCTTCCTAAGTCAACACAAGTACTGAAATGACACTGAAAAACTATAGTCTGATTCTCTCAGGAACACTCAAAGTCAAGTTTGTAGATTTTTATCAAGTATACAATCTTGGGTGCCTAAGATTTTCAACTACTGTTAGCTAATTTTTGTGATTTGGGGGATTTTTCAGGGAGTGTGAGTGTTGTAGTCAGGGGTTGTACACAGTGAACAATTCAGACCAGGACATGGAGTTTATAATATTTTTATAATGGTCACTGGAAGTTAACACAGGAGAATGTAGGAAATCTATCCGCAACACCAATGACATAGATTATTTAGTCAAGAGTCTAAACCCCATGGCAATGTCCCACATGAGTCCACATAAAAACCCAGAGCTCAGGACAACACCTCCACGAGTCCAACTGGAAGTTCAGAGCCCACAAGAAGGACTCACACCGGTCTCCTTTATGGATTCGTGCCAGGAAGACCCAAGGGTCAGAGGTGGAAGCCAGAAAGTCTATGCCAGCAGGATGAAGGAGCTGTGCTAGTGGGATGAGGGTTCCACACTGGAGCCGAGAAGTCACACTCACAACAAAGAGTGGGGCTGTCCTGAAAGGCACCACAGCTGTCCTCAGCGACATAGAGGCCCCGAGCTCTTCCGATGACAAGCACAGTCGGGTACGTGCCAGGAAACAGCGTGATGATTTCATCCTGGAAACCAGGCAGCACATATCTTCCCCTCCGGAGCCGGGAAGCAATGCTGGATGTGAAGACCAAAGCTTCTCCAGGAGAACCAACAGCTCAGACAGCAACTCGTAGGAGAACCCACAATGCTTCCTTAATGCCTCAATCCCTCCCAACACCTCTCTTCTTTTCCACCTATCCTGGCAACCCTCTTCAGGTGGAGCATCTTCTCTCAATACATGCTGATGTAATCCAGCTGGTGTTAAGTTGACCACCAGTTCTCAAACCATAACAGTGAGAGAGAAGATAATGAGCAATTGTAATTATACCTACTGGAGTTTTGATTATTGTTTATTTATTACTTATTATCTTCCTGGCTTGAACTCTAGTTCTTGAGCCAGTGACTAATGACTCATATTTATATACAGTTAAAATCCTTGCACCTGGTTTTCTCTGTTACTTTGTAGCTATGGGACCTCTTCACATGGCCTTTTTAAGAAGTTGGGAATTCCTGGACCGAAACCTCTCCCCTTTTTTGGAACTATTTTGGGCTACCGCAAGGTGAGTATTGTCTATGTGTAAAGGTGGCATCTCCCCAAATTTCTGTATTGAGTGGAAGTACTAGAAAGATAGCTGTGTCTTCATTAACTCACATTTTCACTTAACAACATGATTGAGACATAAATTTGCTGATTGACAGATGTCACTAGAATTTTCAAAATCCTACATGATCTAGAATTCCAAAGACAGTTTATAAGATCAACAAAAGAATGCTGAATGAAGAGATTAAAGAGCTTTCGTGTTCCTGGGAAACTCACTTTCCTCAGCTTTGGTTTCCTCACATGCCCACAGAGGAAATAATGTAGAGGTTTCAGGATTTCAGACATCACAACCAGAGCAAGAACAGTACTAAATGAGAAAGGGTTCCTTAACATTAATAGACAAGGAGGTATGCTTTTGTTACAGATGTCTCTGAATACAATTTTTCTTCTAAAAGCACATGAGACATATTAAGCCTGAATTCATGGGATTCCAGTCATTTGTATCTGTTAGAGATGTGGTCATTACATTTATAGCAATAATGGAATTTGGTTTTCCTTCTCTCCCCAGGGTTTTTGGGATTTTGATACAAATTGTTATAAAAAGTATGGAAAAATATGGGGGTGAGTATCCTGGAAACTTGCATTAGATTATTTTGTTAGGGTGAGGTATGCACTGTCTGAAGACAATATCAGTCTAGAGTTTTGGGGATGCAGCTGTCCAAGACTTTTGGAGATGTGTTTGGGCAGGTCTCCAGTACATCACAGGAGTTGAAATCCACAGTCTAAATTGAGAACGCTGCATGTTATGATTTTTCTTCAGGCGATGATGGACAAGGGCCTACTAGCCTTATTTTCTGTCTATGGTTTGGCCATTCCTTTAGTCTCCACTTTTCCTTTCTTTAGTTCCCTTTAACTGCATTATTTGAGACCTTAATACTGCGTTCTTACAAATGTATGGTATTTTTTCTATGTTGATTTCCCTTTAATTAAATGCTGACAGTAAAGAATTTTTCAACTCTGTTTTCCTACCACAGGTTTTATGATGGTCACCAGCCTGTGTTAGCTATCACAGATCCAGACATGATCAAAACAGTGCTGGTGAAAGAATGTTATTCTGTCTTCACAAACAGGCGGGTAAACATCCACTTTTCAACATTTCAGTATCGACTTATTAGTTCAATCTTATCATGAAATAATTATAAACTCACAGGAATTTGCCAAAAAGAGTAAACCAGGAGGTTGCAAGTACTCTTTATCTTGTTTTTCCCTAGATTATATTAGGACAAATTTATTGTGTAGTTACAAGTATAGTAATAGGAAAGTAATACAATCCATGGAGTTTCCAGTTTCTTATGCTCTCATTGTGTGTAGCTCTATGAAATTCATCACATGCACGCATTTGTGTAACAATCAACTCAGTCAGCATATGGAACTGTTTCTTTACCAAGAGCTCTCTGTGCTTGGTAGCCTGCCTTTCCTATTAACAAGAAACATTTTTCAGAGTAGTTGTTCTCCTTTGGAGGGGGCCAATATATTTACTTTTCCATTTATGATTGTGTTGTCATTGGCACTTCCTGGTTCTTTTCCTGTAGCTTCTATCATGTTATTTTTCTGTCTTAAATATTACATAGTTGTGTGCTTTACACTTAAAGTATATGATCCAGTTGGTGTTAAATGTTGTACAGTGCATGACGTTAAGGTCAAGTTTTTTTCTTTTCTTTTAGGACCATGTGTGTCCAGTAAAAGTCACATGGGTCTAGGTGTGAGGATCTGTTTTTCATTTTCAAATTTTATGCCATTTAATCACTGTCTTTCTTCCTCTTGTACCACACCATTATTATTGTGTCTATGTACTGAATCAACATAATGTATAATGATTCTGACAATCTCATTTCATATTTTTCAGAATAATTTCACCTATTGTTATTTTTTGCCTTGTCATACAAATTCAGAATAAACTTTTGTATGTCTTACAAGAAACTTACCAATATTTTGGTAAGAGTTGAATTCTTCTAATAGGTAACTGGATAAATCATTATTATTGGTATGCTGAGTTTGTATGTCTATGATGCCTATGTACCTCTCCATTTTTTAGGCATTTGTTTTGTTTGTCTGTTTGTTTATTCCTTCCATCAACATTTTCTAGTTTCTAGTACCCAGCCCAATACATGTTTTGCTAGAACTGTACTTCAAAGTACTTTATTTTCTCCAAAGTGATTAATAATAAAAATGTGTTTTTAAAATGTTTTCACATACTCCCATTTTATCTTAAATATATGCCTAGTTTTTGTGTATTAATTTTCATACTGAAACCTTGATGGAGGCATAGTTCCAGAGATTTTTGTGTACTACCTGAGACTTTCTATCTTAGAAAAAAATTTTCTTTTCCAAACCATATAACTTTTATTTTTTGCTTGCCTTACTGTAATAATTCAACTGGCTATAAGCATCAGTTAAAATTCAGAAAAATAAGGAATATTAAAGATTATATTCTTCAGGCTGAGGATATAGCTTAGCTGCTCAGGTGTCTGCCTGCAAGCATGAGGTCATGAGTTTGATCCCCAGTACAGAAAGAGAAAAGTTTATATAATTCATAAAGTCCATTATAACTATTCTTATTCAACATCATAGTCTACTATGGAGTAGGGCAAAATATCTTTTTTTTTGAGCTGTAGACTTTTGGCCCAGTGGGATTTATGAAGAAAGCTATCAGTATATCTGAGGATGAAGATTGGAAGAGGATAAGAACATTGCTGTCCCCAGTGTTCACTACGGGGAAACTCAAGGAGGTAATATAATAAGAGAACTTTTAAAAGGAAACTTAAAGAATGAATCTTCATACTTGTACAAGTTAAGAATACAGTGTCTTTCCAAAAGGTGGTGCTTTGAATTTGAATTTTCTAAAAGTGGCACTTTATCTTTAGGTTTGATAAGACATATTATAATATTCAGTATTAGGACATAAAATATGTCAGTAGACATCCACAAACATACATCTGCCATAATACACATGCCTGTGTTTTAAATATGTTTATTATAAAGTAAGATTCCCAGAATAAAATCCCACTAGGATATCTACTTCTGGAAAAGACAGACTTGATTTCTTAGAAATAGATAAATCTTAGAAAAGGAAGATTATTTACTAGGAATTTTAGACTTACTTTTTATTGATTTATTAATCTTTCTTTAATTTTTCCTTAAGATATAAATTGCCAGAATTCATATGTTATGAATATCCCTATCATATTTCTTAGCAGATGATCCAATTAAACTTTTTAAGTCCAAAAAAATTCACTATAAATGACAGTTACAGTCTCATTCTTGGGAAAGTCAGACCATAGGATCTAAGTATCCTATCCTCATCTACCTAAGTGTGCTGTGTTTTGTGCTTAGATGTTTCCCATCATTGAACAGTATGGAGATGTACTCGTGAAAAACCTACGACAGAAAGCCAAGAAAGGTGAACCTGTCTCCATGAAAGAGTAAGTAGCAGTGAACTGAACTATTCTGAGACTCTCCTTCTGCCTCCCAGGGAGCTGAAATTCCTGATGCTGAATAACTGCAGTAACCAGAGAAAAGCAGCCATACTGCATTACAGTTTCAGCAGGCCATCCATAAAATACATCTTTCAAGAGAAAGTTGGGAAGCTAGAGCCGAGTCTTCCCTCTGTTTACAAAAGTCAAGAGTAATTTAGCGGCTTAATTATCTTTTTGGCTACTCTGGAGGATATAATGTACAGTTTAGAAAGAACAAAATACAATTGTACCAAACTTGTGAGGGTAGAGACCAGTGGTGATAGGAGAAGGCACCTGTAGTTATTGGAAGGTCCTGAGTGGGGCACAAATATGATGTGAAAATTAACTTAAATCACTTCATGAGTTTATAGAGATTGCCATAAAATTAATAAATATTAATCTTTTTATTAGTTTTTGTTCCTTTAACAATAACAGAATGAAGGTTCTAGAGAGGATATGAGTAGGACAACTAGAAAATTTATTGAGTAAACTGGAATTTTGGAATTATATAAGAGCCATGAATATGAACTGAGATTCTACTAAACAAACTGGAGGTTGTTTACTTAAATGTAGAATAATACAAATCCAAATTGGAGAGATTTACTATAGTTTTAAATTAGCAATAGTCTTGGTTTTCATATTCTGCAAGAATAACTCTGGACTGAGGACATCATCAGATTCCAGGGGAAGAAGAACAGATCTATCAGTAGCTTGAATAAAGGATGTAAATTAGAAGGATAGTGTTCCTAGCAACTCAGAACAGGTGTTACTGTTGTATGATGTATGAAAAATTAACTGTTTTCACTGACTATGATGAGTCAGGCCCTAGATCCATGTCACCTTTCTTGTTTTCCCTAGGAAGAATCAATGACTCCATCCTTGTCCTCATGATGCATCGTGTTTGCACATGTATTATTGTTCACACTATTGTAATATATCTGTATCTATCAATTTAAATCACTTTAACGTCCTTGTCACCCCTGGAAAAATGGAAGTTGTTAGTCCTCAACAAATACCCAACAAGTGTGAGTGAGGAAGAACATAAAAGAGTATCCAGATTGTCCAATAGGTAGTTCTAATGGGGTGTGCACTTGTTTTTCCTGGCCATAGGAATTTACTCACACCCCTTAATTCATAAGTAACAGAAGAATGGAAGAGAAGTGCAAATTTTAATTTTTCACATCCTTCCCTACTCAGTGTCTTTGGGGCCTACAGCATGGATGTGATCACTGGCACATCGTTTGGAGTGAACATTGATTCCCTCAACAACCCACAGGATCCGTTTGTGGGAAAAGTCAAAAAGCTCTTAAAATTTAGTTTTTTTGATCCATTGTTCCTCTTAGGAGGTAGGTGGACTACTATTTTATTATTTATTGCTTTTTAAATTATTAATTGAGATATTATTCACATACCATCCTTCCTGTATATTTACACTATACAATTTTATGGTTTTTCAGTACGTTTAAAGTTTATCACAGCCATCATCACGTGTGTAATTATAAATCATTTTTATCAATTCAAAAGCCTGTAGCCTGGAATCATCAACTTTCCTACCATCTTTGGGCCTAGACATATATTAATCTCTTTTCTAATTCTGTATAATTTACTATTCTGGACATGGCATACAAATGAAAGTGTATAATACATAGCCTTTTGTTTTCTTTTCTATTTTTGTGGTAACGGGGATCAAACTCATTACCTCACGCTTGCCAGGCAGGCGCTTATGCCACTGAGCTAAATCCCCAGCCCTACATACCTTTTGGTGGTGGTTTCTTTTATTTGTCATTGTTTTCAAGTTCCATTCATCCTGAAGCATGTGTCAATGTTCTACCTCCTTTCACAGGCAAAGAATATCTCATTGGACAGACATAGCATATTTCTTTTGTTCACTAGTTACAAACATTTGGATTGTTTTCATCTTTTGGCTATTGGGAACAGTAGGGCTATTGCTGTTATGGATGTTCTTGTACAAGTTTGACTTGAAAAAACTATTCTTAGTTATGTTTTCAATTTAATTTTAGTGTTACTAGTTCATCCTTGTTGTATGGAGTAGTAGGTTTTATTTCACCATATTTTCATATGCATATGAAACACTTTGATTAATTTAACTCTCCCGTACTTCCTCCCCTTCCTCTGCTCTCCTATGATCCCCTTTCACTTCCCTAATAGTCTCCCATCAACTTTCCTGTCGTGTCTCCTTTCTTTTTGAAAATATTTTTTTAGATTTACATATGGGACAAAATGTGATAACTGACTTTCTGAATCTGGCTTATTTTGCTTACTGTGTTGATCTCTAGTTTCATCCCCTTGTCTGCAAGTTGCATAATTTGACTTTATTGTTTTTATGACCAAAAACATCCTATAGTGTATATATATACTACATTTTCTTTATCCATTCATCCATTGACAGACACCAAAGTTTAGTTTATTGTGAATTGTGCCACAATGAACATTGGTAGGTGGATGTCACTACAGTGTGATAACTTTAATCATTTGGAAATGTACTAAGGAGTGGTATAGCTGCATTGAGTGGTAGTTCTAATTTTCGTGTTTTAAAGAACCTCCACACTGACTTCTACAGTGGCTCTATTAGTTTACATTCCCACTTAAAGGGTAGGATATTTCCTTTTCTACTACATCTTCATCATAATTTTTAAAATATTCTTAATGATAGCTATTATTACCATGCTAAGATAGAATCTCAATGCAGTATTGATTGCTCTGCTGGATAAAAGTGCTGAACATTTTCTAGTACATTTATTGGCCTTTTGTACTTTTTTTTGAAAAGTGTTTATTTGCTTACTTAATGATTGAGTATTTTAATTTTTGAATGATTGAGTATTTGAATTTTTGGTGCTATCTGAAGATTTTTTGAGTTCTTTATATACTCTGAATATTAATCCTCTACCAGAAAAGTAGCTTTTAAATATTTTCTCCCAATCTGTGCAGAATCCATTCACTCTGCACTGTCTCCTTTGCTGTGCAGAAGCATTCTAACTTGTTGTAAATCTCTGTAATTACTGTTCTCATTTCCCATATTTTTGGAGTCCTAATCAGCATGCCTATGACAAGTGATTCCCTCTATTTGCCTCTTATATTTCAAAATTTCAAGTCTTAAACCTGGGTGTTTTATTTACTTTGAACTGATTTTGGTTCAAATTTTATTTAAAGAGAAGAAAACAAAACAGAAAAGGACAGAAATAATACACAATTTCAAAAAAACAGTAAGAAATCATTAGTTGATAAATTACATATTGTCCCCTTAGAAATAGTTGTTCAAGTTGAAAAAGTAAAGCTTACAAAGTGGACATTCAAACAGGAGACTGAAAACAGTTCTGTTTAATGGTCCAACAAAAACTTAGCAGTATGGTTATCAATCTTACACACTTAAACATACGTGCAAATATATCCTTTAGAGCACTTTCTTTTCCTGTATTTTTTTAAAATAGCAATTATACATTTTCAGCTTTATTACTCCTACCATTCCTATTTCTTATTACAGTACAGATATAATGTGATATTAATAAATATGATTCTTATTGAACTGATTTTTTGTACAGGATGAGGGATAAGGATTTGGTTCAATGCTTTATATGGGGATGTTTGGTTTTCCCTATACTATTTGATTTAAAATGATAATTTTCTCCCAAAGTGTATTTTTGACACCATTATAATACTCAGATTGCTACAGTGATATGGACATGTTTATAATACTCAGATTGCTACAGTGATATGGACATGTTTCTGAGCCATTGATTCTACTCCTTCAGTCTTGTGCCTGAGCCAGTGCAAGTACTATGAGTAGTATATAATTCGAAATTGAATAATGTGATGCTCTAGCCTTGAGTTTTCTTCTTAGGATTGTTTTGTTTATGCTGGATTTTTTAGATTTCCACATGAATGTTATAATTATTTTCTCCAATTCTATAAAGAATGCAATGACATATTGATGGGAATGATATTGAATTGAAAGATTGCTTTTGTTATGTGGTCATTTTAACAATATTAATTTTGTTAATCTATGGGAATGGTATTGAATTGGTAGGTTACTTTTGGTATATGGCCATTTAACAATATTAATTCTGCTAGTCTATGAACCAGGGAGGAAGGAGAGCTCAATATACAAAAGTCAATAAATGTACTATGCCCCATAAACAGAAGTCAAATGATAATCTGAAAACATACAGAAAAAACCTTTGATAAATTTCAATATAGCTTCTTGGCAAAACTCTTAAAAACTAGGTATAAAAATATCTTTTCTTAACATATTAACAACTATGCAGAACAAAACTGTAACCAATAACATGTTAAATGAGGAAAACTGAAACCATGTCCTCTAAAATCAGGAAGGAGTCAAAGATGCCAATTCTCACCATTTGTACTCAATTTACTACTTAAAAATGTAGCCAGAGCAATTACACATGAAAAATAAATGAAAGGATGCAATTAGGAAAAGAAGAAGTCAAATTATTTTTCACTTTCAACATCATTTGGACTCATTGAAATGACTGAAAACATTTTGTACAACGAAATAAGCTAGGACTGGCACACAATACAGTAAATCTACAGATGAATTTTAAGAGTATGGACATTTTAATAATTATTATTTTTTAATTCATGCACAGATTTATCTCTATTCTCTTTAATTTCAACAACATTTTATAGTTTTTAGTGTATGTCACTTTTTCAGATATGTTGTCATGCATGATACATTTTTAAAATTATTTTCAGTGAATTTCTTTGCTTTTGGATTTTTTCTTATGGTATATAGAAATATGACTTATTTTATATGCTAAGCTTAGATTCCAAAATGTAGCTGAATATATTAGTACTTGTACTATCTGATTAAAAATTAATATAGGGGTAATTTTTCCTTTTACATTATCTTGGAGGAAACCACTAAAGTATTAGTATCATGCTAGCTTTAAATTTCTGATGGATGAACTTTATTAGGTTGAAGAAATTCCATTCCAAACCTATTTTTTCATTTCTTTTTATTATTAGATGTTTGTTAAACATAATATATTGATCGTGGGGAATTGGTACATGTACATATTGTACTTCTGTCTTGATTATTTCTCACTTCTTTCCTTTCTCCCCACCCCCGGATGCATTTGATTTTTTGAATAACAAGAGTATTGTATTTTGTAAAACATTTTTCACATATAATACAATTGTTTTGTTTTGAATTTATTCATATTTCATAAAACATATTAATTCTAAGGTAGTTACTACCTAGTTATAGTATATGATCATTTTTATATGTTGATGGATTCAGGATGATAATATTTTGTTGAAGATTTTTCTCCAAAAATATAAGATATGTTAGCTTTAGATTTCTTTTCCCATGTTACCTTTGTTTATAATATTAGGGCAATATTGCCCTGAGGAAAATTTTGGAGAAGTGTCTATTTCAGACATGTTCCTGAACAATTCCTGTTACTTCTTTAAATATTTGTTAAAATGCACTGTCAAAACCATCTGTGCCTGACTTTTCTTTGTAGATGGTTCTTGATTTTTAATTCTGCCGTACTGAATGGTCTTTGCATAGGACTTCTATATACTTATATCTTTAGTCCATTTCTGTGATTTATATTTTTCTCTGGTTTTGTTCATCTAATCTGTTATAATATTTTTGTTATTGTTCTAATAATCTACTAGTTAATAAAATTCCTTTAGAGCCCTATTTTTGGATTTCATAGACTTCCTTAAAAATGTAATAGTATTTATTTGCAGTATATAGTGATTAAATTCCTTGTGAAGAAATTGTACATGTACATAATATATCTAACTTCTTTTTTTGTTCCCTGTTCCTCCTCTCTTTCTCTTCTCCTGATTCTCTTCTCATTTGAAAAGCATCTATTTTTCTATTTCTATAATCTATCTTTTAGTTTGCTCTTTACATATAAGTGCAAACATGTGATACTTAAGTTCTTGTGTTTGATTTATTTCATTTAACATTATGATGTCAAGCTATGTTAACTTTTATTTGCTTTGTTTCTGCTCTTTGACTTTGAATGCTAGTAATTTCAGTCATTTATTTTTACTTCTGGGTAAATATAGGCAAGATTTTGCCAACTGTTAATATTTTCAAAGTGATTTTAATTTTCATTAATTTCTTCAATTGTGTTTTAGGTTTTATTTCATGAGACTCAGGTGTGGTATTAAATAATTTCTTCCTTCTCTATGCTTAGGTTCACTTGCTGTTTCTTCTTTAGCAACTTATGGTGTTAAGTTTGATTACTGATAGGAGATCTGTATTACTCAATACATACAACTGTCCCTCTGTGCTCTGCTTTTTATTATCATACATTCATTTTATTCATCATTTTTAAATCTCATTCAGTTTGCAACAATCGTTTATACTTTTTCTTGAACCCATGGGTCATTCGTGTGTGTTTTTATTAATTTTCACGTATTTCTGACCTTCCCGATTATTTCATTGTACACTAGCTGAGAAACATCCTGCATTAGTTCCACCCCAATTTCTCTTTCTTGAACAGCATGATCAGTTATAGCACCAGATTTAAGCCTGATTTATGTAATACTCCATTATATAAAAGAACCAAATGTTTTTTTTAATACTTTTTGTGGTTGATGGGCATTTGGGTTGTTTCCAAGATTTAGCTATTACAAATTGTGTTGCTATAAACACGGGAGCACATATATCACTATGGCATGATGTTTTCAGTTCTTCTGGGAAAATACTCTGAATGGGGAGCATCTGGACTGAATTAGACCTCCAATCCTAGTTTTTAAAGGAATCTCCACTCTGATTTCCATAGTGGTTTTACCAGTCTACACTCCTGTCAAAGTGGAGGAGTGTTCCTGTTTCCCGCCAGTCCTGCCAGCATTTATTATTGGTTGATTTGTTGATGGCAGCCATTCTTTCTGGAGTGAGATAGAATCTCAGTGTTATTTTAATTTGTATTTTTCCAATGACCAGTGATTTTCAACATTTGTTCATGTATGTATTTGCCATTTGTATTTATTCATCTGAGAAGTATTTATCTCAGATGCCCATTTTTGGATTGGGTCTTTGAATTTGGGGAACCTGAAGCATAAACTAGAGGCTTTTATAGGTAAATAGATGCAACTTGAGACCAAAGTTGTAAGTGAAATATAGCAAAATCACACGTATAATTATCATATTGTCTCCCTAGTATAAAAAAACTGAAAGAGTAGTAAGATCCAAAATGTACAATACATATTGTGAAAATGAAAAGAAAAGAAAGTACTCAAAAGGAAAGAACAACTAGGATAGGAGAAAGGAGAAAAAGAAGGCAAAAGATTATATTTATAAAAGTATACATGTATATATATATATACAAGATAGATAACTATACTACTAATCTCTGTAAGTTCATCAAAAAGTTTGTGCTTTGTTTGATTGTTTCATCATTTTCATGCCTAAATCTTGTAATCTGAACAACTACTTCTAAGATAGCAATATGCAATGTATTAACCAGTGTTAATTTCCTACCATTTGAAAAATTGTATATTGTTTCTATTCTTTTTTTTGTTTTATTTTGTTTTGTTGTTAAAATTTTTTAAAAAATAAAATAAATAAATCCTGATTTGTGCAAAGTGACTGTTCTAATAATGCACCAAAGGATAAGAGGTCAAGGTGTTCAATCATGCTGTTTTGATCAATACAAATGGAGCCACTGATGATACTGCTAGTGATGGCCTGTAATGTGCTCTTGTTCAGGCAGTAGTCTGCAGCCCAAGAGAGTTGACAGGAATGGAATGGCTCCTACATGGGATCCCTGACAATTTACTAATCTGGGTGATATACAAATGTAATTGCTTGGGTAAATTTTTCATTTTCACTGTTTCCTTTTGTCTTTCTCCTATAGTACTTTTTCCGTTCCTTATACCAGTGATGGATGCGTTAAATCTCTCTGTGTTTCCAAGAGATGTTACAGACTTTTTAAAAAAATCTGTTGAAACAATGAAAGAGAGTCGCCTCAAAGAGAAACAAAAGGTAAAATCTGGTGGTAGTTGCATGTGAGTCTTTACTTGTTGATGACTTATTGTATACATACAATTTGTTCTTTGTCTCCTCCCGACTTCCCTTATGTCCCTCTCTTCTTCTTTCTGATTCTGTCTCTCTTTCTGTATGTTTCTCTTTGTCTCTGTCTACATCCGTCAGTCTGTCTCACTCCCTGTTTCCCTCTTCCCTTTTCTCCTTCTCTTTCTCTCATTCTTCTCCAGAACTTTTAATTTTCATTGTGAGAAGAATCTCACTATATCACTAAATTTCCCAGTCTCAGCTCAAATTTGCAATCTCTTGTACCTCAGCCTTCCAAAATTCTGGGTTTACAGATGTTCACTATTGTACCTAATATATATATATATATATATATATTTCTATTATGCCATTTGCAGTAACCTAGCACCTTAAGGACTATAAGCATTGAATGTCATAAATGTGAGAGAAGATTAATAATATCCACAAGAAGAAAAATGGGGAAAGAGTACACAGAGAAGGAGGAAAGAGGGAGAGACTAAAAGTAATGAAGCTGCATTACGTACATGTACCCACTCTCTAAGATGGTTGTAAACTACATCCACTGGAAACATGTATTAATCAAATTATGAAGTTAGATGAAGAACTCTAAGAGAAACAGAGCTGTCACATTTTAGGGAGAGTGCAAAGTGATTCAGAGATAAAGCATTAAAATTAACTTATAGATATGATAACTAGTTTGTCATGGTATGTATAAAATTTAGATGTATCTATTCAAAATTACAGAAAAAAGATACTTCACACAGTCATTAAGGAAAAGCATACACAGATTTCTTAAACTATTAATGTTAGAACTACCATATGACCCAGCAATTTTCTGACTGAGAATGTATTCAAAGAAAATGCAAGTGGTACACTGAAAATACACCTTCACTCTCTGTTCACAGCAACACTCTTTTCTAAAACCTTTTATTGATGCATAATAATTGTATATATTACTGGAACTGAGTGCTGTATTGCCATACATCATTATAGCAATGTTCACTGCAGCCAAGAAATGGAAGCAACCAAAGTATGCATCAACTCATGAATGGATAAAGAAATTGTGGTACATGTACAGATTGCTGTTTGCAAACACCTTTAGAATGCTTCTCTTGGCTTCCCCATAATTAGATCTTGGCAGCTACTTCTCCTGTTACACCTTCCTAGTCCAGATAAAGTTCAAGATGTTAATCATATATTCTCCTGGCTTAATTCTTTTTTCCCTGGTTTAATTCTTAATAGTGGCTGATAGATTAATTTGCTATTTCCACAGCTCATCAGCATGTTTTAGGGATTTATCTGGAAATATTCCAGATATTTAAAAGATAAGATAATAAAAAGAGTGAAATTCTGTCGCTGGCAACATGGAGGGGATGGGAGATTGTTGTGCTAAATGAATTAAGCCACCCACAAAAGACAAGCACTACATGCTCTCATTCATAAGTGAAATCTAAAAAATGTTGATCTAGTAGAGGTTCAGTATAAAATGGTGTTCACCAGAGGACAAGGAGAATTGGGGGAGGGTGAAAAATGTTGATCTGTGAGTACCAAGTTAGGTTAGGTAAGAGCCAGAAGTTCTCATACACTGTCAGCTATAGATAACTGTACATTACTATGTATTCTTTTCATTACTATGTATTTTAAAAGCTAGAAGAGAAGATTTTAAAACTTTTCACCATAAACTATGAATGTTCAAGGAGATAAATATGTTTAACCTGATATGAATATAATGCAAGTTATACTTGTATCAAAACACATGATGCCCCATTAAGTATAATTTCCATGTTTATCCATACCTGTTAAAAATAAATTAGGAAACAACTATAAAGCTTTACCATTTTCTAACAAGAAAATTGTACTGTATCTTTACAATCAATACCATACTACCATATTCCATGGATAAAAATTATACTTATACTTTTGTTTCCCAGGTACTTTGCTTTTAGGTCTTGTTATCATAAAGAATCATTTTAGATTTCATATTACCTAATGGAAGGTCTTTGAGGCTTCCTGATGCAGTTTTTTGTATGTTAAAATTTGAGTCTCTTATGACTTGAATGGCCATGAGACTTCTCCATGCTTCATGTCTTTGCCCCATGTAGGCTGTACAACATTATAGGGATGTCCTCAGGTCAGGCAAGTATGACTGGGTATCACTAAAAATTTCACTGCATTTCAGGATGGTGGACTATTTCAAGATGGGTCTCAAAATCCTGATGACAATCTCTGGAAATGACAAACTAATCTATTGACCACTGGTTATGAATTAAGCCAGGAGAACAAAAGATTAACATCTACAACTTCGTATTGAGCAAGCAGGTGTGACAGGAGGAGAAGCTGCTATTCTCTGGTCAGGAATCTGTGTTAAGGAACCAGAGAAGTCAGGATTGGGGGAAGTCAGAGACTGAAAGCTATTGGACACAATGTCTGGTTTTCATTCAGGGAAAAATCTGCTCTCTTAAGTTTGTCGATCAATATTTTTTTCACCAATCACACAACAACCTCAACAAACTTTCATAGTTGCAGAAGGAAATTATATAATGTACCATACTGTACTGATTTATTTCTGAGGTCATGATTGATAGCTTGGCTCTGAAAATTCTCTTTCTGCTTCTAGCACCGAGTGGATTTTCTTCAGCTGATGATAAATTCCCAGAATTCCAAAGACACAGAGTCTCATAAAGGTAATTAAGAATATCCTAAGCTCTGATGATAGGGCAGCCAATAGAATGGGAGTTGTTCTCAAAGTGTACAGAAGGGTTTCCAAACAGTGAAAAGTTTCTGGAAAATTGCACAGAAAAACACAATTAGATATTATACTTGCTAATCAGAGGTTTATTTAGGAGAATGTACAATAATGTTCAAATATTGAAGTCACTGTACCCAAGCATTTCATGCCTGGATGTCATCAGTAGTCCTGGGTCATTTATATCAGAAAAAATGCTGGTTATTGGCTACATACAGACCCACTGAGCTGAAATTTCTCTCTGGAAATTTGTGCCTGTACATCTAATAACAAGGAACATCTCTGAACGGTGGTGATTTTCACTGTGAACACATGGTAGAAGTGTTTATGAGCTTAGTCTATGGTAAACTGTTTAACTTTCCTCATGTAATTGATAAGTACTGAGTGAGGAAAAACTTTTAAACCATGTTAATATCTTGCTCTTTATACTTTTATCTATCAGTTTTATCATCTTTGGAAGGCTTTTGAGGAAAATAATTATTGATATGATTGTTACAAAGTGAGGAATTTCTAACTCTATCACTTCTTACGTAGTTGTAGATTAGTTTATCATTATAAGAAAGAGCTAACATGCCTTTCTGTCTCTTTCATCTTTCTCTTTCTTTCCTCCTCCTTTCCTTCTCCTCCTTTTATTCCCCAGCCTTCTCTCTTTCCCCTCTTCTCCACATTCTTTCCTTTCCTATCCTTTTCTTTCTATCTTTCTCAATCTCTATTTTGTTTGAATAATCTCACATAATAAATTTAATTTTTCCCATTATTTTTATTTTGATGCTAGAATTCTGTCAAATTTGTCCATTGGAAACCCTTTCTACTGGGCTTTTGAGTCCTAATTCTTTTCCCGTTGATCATTTATCTTTAAAGTAATCTTTTAGAAAATTAATGTGGGATCTAGTATTGATTTTTCACCTGTGGATATTTGCTTACAGATCTTGTCAAAGGATGTAAATATGAAAGTAAAATATACTTACATGAAACAGAAATGATACTTTTGTGTCCATGTATAATACTCACCCACTGACATACAGTACCTCTCTGTCTTAGTTACTTCTCTCTCACTGTTAGGACAAAATACCCAACACTCAAAATTAAGGAAGGGAAGGTTTGTTTAGTTCACAGATTGTAGAGGGTTTGGTACATAAGTAGCTAGTAACAAGGCAGAGTGGCATGGCACAGGGGCAACAATTCAGGGTGGCAGAAGACAGCAACAGTAAGAAGAGAAAAAAGCCTCTTTTCCTCCTACTCATGTAATAACTCGGACCCCAGTATAAAATCCAAGGAAGCAAGAGACTGAAATTTGGGGAGCAAAGGCTTTAGTAGGCCAGGTCTGGCGATGAGTCTCCAGGAGCCAATTTGGAGACTGCCTGCCAGAGACTGAAGGGAGAACTTTAAAAAGAGGCTGGAGGAAAATGGGGGGAGAAACAAAGAAACCTGTAGAGCCATCAAACTTGTTGATCTGAATCTGGAAACTGTATAGCTGTCCACTTAGTTCTGACAACCTCGGGAGCCTTTGGCACCTTTTGAGTTACTCTCATTCTGCAGATAAGAATTATCTGCAATAACATTTGGAGAAGAAAGTAGAAAGCTAATTATCTCAGGACAGCTCATTAACACTAACAGGTGGGAAGGGGTCGAAAGTTACAAGAAGCTGAAACTTACGCCTTCACAAGGATTTGGAACTTAACCCTTTTGGTGCATTAGGGTTAAGCCACAACATTTTCCTGTAATTTCTTTGAGGCTAAGGCACATTTTATGACAGACCACCACCAGGTCAGGAAGAGGTCACCAGAAACCCAAAATCTTTATGGCCTAGCCTAGATAGATAGATAAGGGGAGAGGGGAGGCAATAAGGCGCGATACAGAACAGAAAACGGAGGTTATGTTTTTTTTTTTTTTCTGGGGAGGGGGATCAAGGTCAGGTAAAGGGTTATGCTAATAAGCAAATCTCCCTGCACACAAGCAAGTTAGTTCAAACAAGTGTAAATCAGAGGGCCATCCTAGTTTTCTTTAGCTCTTTAGTGGAGAATAGAATGATTGACAACCATGAATGAATAGAATGATTAACAACACTTGTTAGCTTGTTTTAGCACCACTTCTGTAGTTTGTAGAGGGCAACAATGGTTAACATATCAATTAGGTAAGGTTTTCCAACTCTTTACAGAGAAGAGCATTGATTAACATATCAGTTAGGTCATCCAAAGACATAAGAAGGGAAACACATACAGTAAGCCCGTGTTACAGGTTTTGTTATAATACACATATAACATATAATGAAGCTATTTTCTTAGAGTACAACACTCACACCATCTCTGTGCTCTTCTCCTGCACAGGTTAAGAATGTTTACAAAGTGAGGACCCTGAGTCCTGCTGAGCTGCTTAGTTAAACTTCTAAACTTCTCAAGTTGACACAGTGTGTCAACCATTACACTTCTTCAAGAACTCCTCTAATTTATAGCATTTTTCTGTGACATAATTTCACTTTGAGCAATATAAGGCTACAGTGGTGTGACAACCATCTGATAAAATTTCTGAATTTACTGGTTAATTCCAAAGAAGAAGAATGAGCCGACTCTGTCACATCAGAGTAAATATATTTTGTGTCTACAAAATGTTGACCCATTTATTATTATCTATTTGTCTACTTCAATATTGCTTTCTTTGTGAAGGAAATGCTCTACACTTTCATTGTTTAATAGAAAAAACTGCTAAATGTATGTGGTACATTTGATATGTGTCAAGCGACTCTAAAAAACTAAAGTATAAATTGTATTCAGTTTTAATTAAAATTTAAATATTCTCATGGGGCTAGTGCCTAACATAGTGGGCAGCAGAATCTAAACTTTGACTTTATAACTCACTTCAATTCATTGTTTGAAATTCATCCTCACTGGAAGAAAGATATTTTAGTAGAATTCCTACAGTATCATTACCAAAACCATTCTCATTATTAGTAAAATAGAAATCTGTAGATCTCTCAAAGTCCCATTTTGTATTGTATTTAATTTTGAATTTTAGATTGGAACAGGCAAAATATTTATTTCAAAGCTTTGGATATGCGTACGTCTTAATCCATTCCCTGATCAACAAGACCATTACCTGATGGCTCTTAGCTTCTCTTCAGAGAAATTCTAGAGGGGCAACAATGCTTATGCAAAGACTATTGTGAGATAAAGTAGAGCAAAGAGAAGGCACATACCCTGAAGAAGATGACACTGGGCCATGAATGAATAGTGTTACTAATTTTACTCAGCATTTTCTCATATTTCACACTCAGTGCCTTTATACTTAAACATTATTTCTTTTGCTACCCTAATACCATTCATTAGACAAGGGTCACTCATCAGTATTCTATCTGATTCCTTTCTGTGTAGTTTCTTTACAACCTGAGGCTTCCTATTTTGAAGAGTGGTGCCCCTGTATTCCTTTATGTGATGCTTCTGAAAGCTTGCTACTTGAACTAGGTTGTGGAAACCAGATCACCACAGTTTTTGAAAGATTTTAATAGGGTAGATCTTGGGTAGGTTTGAGATTCTGTGTTTCTAATCAGCTTCCAGATGTAGCTGATCCTCAATGTCTGTGGACCACACACTGACTAACAAGACTTTTACTGATGTTCAAAATTATTCCCTTAGGGCATCATTAGATGAAAGGTCATTAATATGCTTTACATTGATTACTTAGTATTGAACATCCATTCAAAGTGTTTCCTGCTATTTTTGTAAGTAGGATAATTATTGTGCTTTCTTGGTTACTTTTCTCTCATTGCTGGGACAAAACACTTGAAATCCCAAAGTAGGGAAGAAAAGATTTATTTGGTTCACTGTAGAGGCTTCAGCCCATAATCATCAGCTGGCTCCAAGGCAGGGTGACATGACACTGGGGCAACACTTCAAGGCAACAGCCAGAGCAAAAAGGAGGAAAATAAGCCTCTTCTCCTTTTTTATGTCATACACAGGCCACTCAATCCTCCAGTATGAGTATAACACTCACAAAATCTCTGTGCACTCCACTTGAGGATGTTTACAAAGTAAGGATCCTGGATCCTTACTGAGTCTTTCAGAAGTTTTAGAAGTTTAGAAGTTTAACAACTTCTAAAGCTGACACAGTGTATCAATCATAACAAATGCTATCAGTGTATTTACACATTCAAAGTAGTTTTATGGAAATTCAAGGGGTACTCTACTTAAAATTTGTATACTGCACACAAATCATAGCTCTTGAAATCACTAAGCTGTGTTGCCTATGGGGTTGGCATAATGAAGAGCAAAAGGCTAAGAGCTCTATAGATCTTAAGAAACTGAGTTAAAAAATTTTTTCTTTCTTTTCAGTCCCATAAAATTGATACAATAAAAGTGAAAACCTCTCACAGTGGGCCTCTAAAATGCTTGTTCCTTTTAATATGTGGATATTTGTGAGTTAATTGGGATTTCCCTTCATCTAAACTGTGATGTTCTACATTGACTGGTTTTCCTTAAAATGCATTTCTTCTATTAGCTCTTTCTGATCTGGAGCTTGTGGCACAATCAATCATCTTTATATTTGGTGGCTATGAAACCACTAGCAGCACTCTTTCCTTTGCTATGTATGCGTTGGCCACTCATCCTGATGTCCAGAAGAAACTGCAACAGGAGATTGATACAATTTTGCCCAATAAGGTGAGTGCATGGTACCTAGAGAGGGAGGGAGACGGTAAAGTCTTGAAAATAACATCTCTTAATCATTGTCTTAAGTTACTTTTTCACTGCTGGGACAAAATACTTGACACAAGTTGAAGGATAAAATGTTTATTTCAGCCTTCAGTGGGTAGAGGTTTCAGCTCATAGTCTGCGGGCTCCATGGCAGAGTGGCATGGCCAGTAGGCATCACAGAGGATCAAGAGTCCATGGCAGGGCAGGCAAGAAGCATTGAACGGCATTTGTAGGAAGCCTCCCTTTCCATTTTATTCCATACAGGATAAAAACCTTTTTTTTTGTGGTGTCAGTCACACCCAGAACCATGGTAAACCATTCAGTGGACTAGTTTAGTACCACATACACTTAATTCCAGTAACACATACTCTAGATCCAGCCAGCTCTGAAAAGTCTCACATATGTGTGCATGAGGCATCGAAGAACATCTAGATACAAGCCATGACATTGCTGTCCTAGAGCCACTTTTGCATCAGTTCCCTTTATACAAAAGGCATTTATTCCACTTTTTAAGAATTTCCAAAGTCCTAATGGTCAAAGCATTGATGAAAAGTCCAACTCTGAAGTCTCTTCTGAGATTTAAGGCAAACTCTTAACTTGAAGTCCCTGTACAAATGAAAAAAAACCCCTAAATATACGGTGGCATAAGATACACATTTCTATTCCAAAAAGGGGATAGAAAAAAAATAGAACCAAAGTGCAAGGAAAGAGCCTTGCTCTTTTTACAAGTTGGAAAATGTAAGCCCTGTGTGACTCTGAGCAGCAAGTAGTTCTCAAACAGCTTTATGATTTGAAGATGTGCTTGTGGTTTTGACTAGTGCCTCTGTGCAGGCAACACTGTCCCTACTAGTGCGGGTTGCGATGTCTATCCAAATTCTGTTAGCCTTCAAGATCAAACCTAGCAACAAGACCATTATACAATCAATCAAGTGTCAACTCTCAGGGGATCAGAAATGCTCCCTACCCCATAAAATGACCATAGCACCAGGTTCAGTGGTGACTTAGTTCTGGGCAGCTCTACTCTTTCACCTGAGTATCTTTGAATTTCTTCTGGCAACACCTGAAATAAAAATACTTTCATTTAGCACTGGTCTTCTCAGGATCCCCTTCCCCTTTCTATGTCTCAGAGATAGGCCCTGGAAGGACAAGCCTGGTGACCCTCACCCACCAGACATAACAAAAGCAAGTTCAAAAATCCAGCAGGTAAAACATTCAGTCCTTAGCTCCATATCGAGCATCTGGTACAATCTGTAATGTGAGTACCAAAAGGCTTGAGTGGTTCTGCCCCTGTCACTGTTGATGGATGTAGTTTCCATGGGTTGGCTCTCTCTTGGGATGGCTTTTCTCACTTCTTGAGGCTTTTCATAAGAGAATCCACATTCCTGGCATCTCCAACATGCTCCAAACTTCAGTTTCATACTCACAGCTTCACACACTTCTCACTCAAGGATACACTGCCTGGTTTCCTACACATTTTTATCAAATCTGCGTGGAAGCCTTTCTGAACTCACAACTCTTGCATTCTGCATGTATCTAAAATCAGCATGACATGATTGCCAAAGTGTACTGCCTTTCTGCAACATGGTGCTTTGGGGTTCTTTTATCAAAGTAAAGTCTTTCACTTTTTAAAAAAGATTAACATAAAAGAGGACATAACACAGGTCAGAACAGAACAATTTAAGCTACATAGTGTTTCACCACAAGACAACCTGACATAACAGTAGCTACCATAGTGTGTTTTTCTTTGAACTATTTGAGTATACCTTCATATACTATAGTATGAAATATAAAAAGGCAGTGTAAAACCATTCAAGAGAATGAAAGTATTACAGGGTATTCAGAATCAACTAATGGAAAATGAACAATGGTTACTATATTATCTGCTTATCTATAAAAATCTTTGTTTATACGATCACATATAAAATAATCAATAAGATACAACATGATAAAACCGATGGAGACAGAAGAACAAAAAATTGGTGGGACTTCAAAACAGGATTTTATTAAATCAGCACTAGCTATTATAATGTCTTGTTTACTTCAAAATAGCTGTTCATACCATCACAGACAATAAAATCAAACAACCTAGAATAAAACCGTTCCAACTAATGAACAAAAACATTATAAGTCTTCATAGCAATATCATGGGGAGTCATGATTACCACATACTTTTATCTATTCTTATCATTTCTTACACTAAGGAAACTATTCAGTATTTATACAGGTGAGTTTGATTTATTTTGCTTATGAGTATGGTCTCAAACTGTGTCCATTTATTTATAAATATCTCAGTGTGATCCTTCTTTATACTTACTACTCCATTGTATAAAAATACCACAACTTATTTGTTGATTCCTCAGTTGATGGACACATAGGTTGTTTCCAAGATCTGGCTATTACAAATTGTGCTGCTATAAACGTGGGTGCACATATATCACTGTGGTATGATGCTTTCAGTTCTTCTGGGAATATGCCTAGAAGCAGTATAGCTGGAACAAATGGGACGTCCAATCACAGCTTTTTGAGAAATCTTTCAGAGTGACCTCCACAATGGTTGCACTAGTCTACACTCCCACCAACAATGCAGGAGAGTTTCTTTCTCCCCACAACCTCTCCAGCATTTGTCGTTGGTAGTTTTCTTGATTCTGGCCATTCTTTCAGGAATGAGATGGAATCTCAGTGTGGTTTTAATTTTCATTTCTCTAATGAGTAATGATGATGAACATTTCTTCGTGTATGTATTTGCCATTTATATTTCTTCATTTGAGAGCTGTGTATTCATCTCAGATGCCCATTTTTGGATTGGATCTTTGAATTTTGGGGATCTGATGTTTTGAAATTCTTTATATGATTTAGATAGAAGTGCTTTGTCTGAGGGACAGTTTACTAAATTTTTCCCAGTTTGTGGGTTTTCTTTTCACTATGCTGGAAATTTCTTTTGATGTGCAGAAACTTTTTAATAAGACGTGATCCAAGTTATTGATTCTGGGAAGTATTTCCAGTGTGGTTTGATTCCTGTTCATGAATTTTCTATCTACCTCTATAACTTCAAGGTTTTTACCCAATTTGTCTTCCAATAGATTTAGTGTTTCTGTTTTAATATTCAGATTTTGATTCATTTAGATTTTAAATTGGTACATGGTGATAAGCATGGGTCTAGTTTTAGTTTTCGGCATATGGAGAGCCAGTTTTTCCAACACCATTTATTAAAGAGACTGTCGTTCTTTCAGTGAACATGTTTGGCCCCTTTATCAAAGATAAGGTGGTTGAGTGTGTTTATAGTTGTGGCTGTATCTTCTAATCTATTCCATTGATATTTAGGTCTGTTTGGATTCCAGTACCATGTTGATTTTGCTACAGTTGCTTTGTACTATAACTTCAAGCCAGGGATTGTGATGCCTTATGCCTTGCCTTTGTTGCTTAGAACTGTCTGTGCTATTCCAGGAGTTTTCTGGTTCCAGGGGAATTTTAGGAGTGATTTCTCTTGATCTATGAGGTATGTTGATGGTAATTTCATTGGGATTGCATTGAATCTGTATAACAGTTTTGGTATAATGGCCATTTTCACAATATTTTTTCTTCCTATCCATGAGCAAGGGATGTCATTCCATTTTCTGAGATCCTCTTCAATTTTTTTTCAGCGTATAATTTTTCCTGTATAGATTGTTCACTTCTTTTGTAAGAATAATTTCTAAATATTTCATTTTTCTTGTTGCTAGTGTGAATGTTGTGACTTCTCTTATTTCTCTCTCTGTGATTTTGTTGTTAGTATATAGGAATGATACTGATTTTTGAGTACTGATTTTATATCCAGCTATATTGCTGAATTTATTTATTGTATGTAACAGTTTTTCAATGGAAGTTCGGGGGTCTCTATGTAGAGTATCATTTCATCTGCAAATAATGGTAATTTAAATTCTTCTTTTCCTATCTTTACCCCTTTTATTTTTCCCTCCTGTCTAATTGCTCTGGCTAATATTTCCAGTACTATATTAAATAGGAGCAGCAATCAGGGACATTCTTCTCTTATGCCTGATTTTAAGGTAAAGGCCTTCAGTTTTTGACCATTTAGTATAATACTGGCTGGTGGTTTGTCATAGATTGCCTTTATCATATCGAGGAAAAGACCATTTATTCCAATTTTTTTGTAAGATTCTTATCATGAATGAATGTTGGACCTTATCAAAAGCTTTTTCTACATCTATAGAAATGATCATGTGATTCTTACTTTTGGTTTTATTTATTTGGTGGATTACATTTATTGATTTACATTTGGTGAACCATTCCTGCACGCCTGGGATGAATCCCACTTGGTCATGGTGTATAAACTTCTTGATGATTTGTTGCATCCTCTTTGCCAGTATTTTATTGAGGGGTTTTGCATCTGTGTTCATTAGGGAGATTGGCCTGTAGTTCTGTTTTTTAGTTGGGTCTTTCTCAGTTTTAGTACTACAGTAATATTTGCTTCCAGGAATGTTTTAGGAAGGATTGCTTCTCTTTCAATTTCACTGAAATTTTGTGTAGTGTCAGCATTAAGTCTTCTTTGTATTTCTTGTAGAATTGTGCATTGAATATGTCTGGGCCTGAGATCTTTGTAGGTAAGGACTTAATTACATTTTCAATTTCATTAATAGAAATTGGCTTATTCCATCATTTTATATCTTCTTGATCTAGCTTTGGTACTTCATAAGTTTTTAGGAATCTGTCTATTTCTTCTGTGTTATCAAACCTATGAGGGTAGAGGTTATTGAAATAGGTGTTCATGATCTTCAGTATGTCTACAAAGTGTGTAATGATTTCACATTTTTCATTCCTTATTGCATGGATTTTAGTTTTTTGTTCCCTTTTTAAAATAAGGTTGGCTAAGGGCTTATCATTTTATTTATTCTTTCAAAGAACCAACTCTTTGATTCATTGATTCTTTGGATTGTTTTCTTAGTGTCTATTGCATTAATTTATGCCCTGAC